TTTTTTTTTTTTTTTTTTTTCACTGAAGCTCAAAGTTGGTAAATTGTTGCGAGAAGAAGATCCTTTTAAGCTTCCTTGTCTATATATTCCAGACTATTTTCGAGTGTACATTTCTTGTCTATAAAATGCCACGATTGGGGCAGTAATTATGTTATCGTATATGTTTTTATTCCTCTATTAAATCTAGGTTCTGAAATTTAGTTTGCCATCAGTTTGCTGTAACACCCAGAATTCTGTATGAAGTGATAAATGTCCACCAGCAAGATTAAGAGTAGCCGAAGGGCGAAACAAAGACAAGAGATGCATATGTATATAGGCAAATACTTGACAAGTTAAAGATTTTGTGAAATGATCTTGGTTGATCGATTCTCTTCAATCTTCTTGTCAGGAAAGCGAAAGAAACAAGAAACCGCTGTTTGAAAATCATATAAACATCTTTGTATCATCTTGAAATAATGCTATGAACAAAATCGTACAAGCTATTCTAGATATTTCAGGCAGTTTATGGCTCAGCGAGCCCTTTTATCTTCTGTTGCTCATGAACAATCACCAATTTTATGGCAAATTCATGGCTTTAATTTTTGCCGAAACCAAATAACGACTTGATGGCATTGATGGCATTCTCATTGATAAAAGATTCATCATACTTCTTCAAAAGAGTATCAAATTCCTCAGAAGTTCTGAGATTGGCAAGGTCAGGATCTGTCCGGATTCTCTGTTAACAACGATGACAATTTCAGATACCTCATAGACTCACATATTGAATAAAAAAACCAAAGTACTTGTTCTAAATGATAGATTACCTTGAAGTCTTCATATCCTGCTTCCATGGCATCTTCAAGAGCCGAGAGCCCAGCTTTTACCTGGTCATGTTCAAAGATATCATGAAATTTCATTAACACAGTTGGAACTTAGACGATGTTTGTCTCCATCATCTGCCATAATCGAAGCAATATATGTGATAGTCTTTTGTTAATGCAAACAAGACAACACCTGATTAAGCTTAGAATAACAACATGCCACATTGTAACATGCTACTGCAGCTTCGGTTGCACTTGGTTTTGATCCCAATACAGACTCAAATTTCACCAAAGCTTCCTCAGATTTCCCAGCCCTTAATAAGCCAGACGGGAAATGGAAAAGAACGATTAGCCACACGAATAACTGAGAAAGCATGAAATGCGGTAGAAATAGGATGAATCTTAATCACGAAAAGCGAAGTACTTGGCTGAATCGAAATGAAACTGTGGTTCACTGGCCTATTGTTAGAAAGTGAATGCAAATCGAAAAGGACTAGAAAAGGATCAATTGCCAGGATTTACTTGTAAAGTTGCAGCCCTTCACGGAGGTCCCTTTCTCTTTGTTCTTTCTGCTCCTTTTTTCTCAAGTAATTTTGCATCTGAAATCAAAATCAAATTGTAGAGACTACACTAGTGTTATCTTACAAAAAACTTGAAAAAATTTCCTACACTAAAAAGCAAAGGAGATGAAGAGCTGTAGTATGCAATTTCAGCTTCATTGTAACTATCATTCTTAAAGAAATAATACTCACTTGGATTTCTCTCACTCTGTTACTAATTACACCAGAGTTCCTCTCAGCTCTTATAATCTCCTTTTCTGTCAATTCACCTGTTTCCTCCAACTTCCCTGCAAAACATATCGATGTACTCATTACTTCAAATCGCAATGCATAATTCATGAAAAAATTATAACCATTGACAACTAATACGAGTGGAAATTGAATTTCTAACAAACTTTTTGTCATCATTCCATTTCCAATAAATCTTGAACTGAAGGTTGTTAGAGTGAAAGTAAGGATGGATGAAGAACCAACCATATCTCTTTTGCATTTTCATGAGTAACGGGCCAATTCGCTGGCGGATGGTGTACATTGTTCTCCCATATTCGGCAGCAGGCCATATTTCTGTCCCAAACACAGCACTGCATTCAATTTAGAACTCCCTATGTCACATTCTCATCCATGAATGCATTCAAATTTGAACAGAATTACACAACAATCTCAAGCACATATCTAATAAACCGAAAACAATAATCAAACAGATATGCTAAGCTCAAATCTCTTCAAAATTTGCAAAGAACACCAGTAGAACCTTGAAATAAATTTAGCCCTTCACAATTTCACTGACAAACCCCACATGCCGTTCATTTTTTTTTTTAATCAGATCAATCAGTTATACACATACAAAAGAATCATTTACTCAATTTTGTGCCTCTAATTGACCTTTCAAAGAACTAAATCTTGAAAATTGAGAAAGAACAATCAAAACACACCTGGTGGCAAGGACTTTATCTCCAACAGTGAATTTGCCAGTCTTGTCAGCTGAGCCACCAGGAGCAATAGCATCAATGTAAGTGCCACCATCTCTTCCCTTAGCGAACCTGAGTCCATAAGGCTGTTCAATCTCCACCTCATATTCTTCATACTCTTCTTCCTTCTTTTCACCTTCACTCTCAGTCTTTGATGTCTGTGCCTCAGTTTCTGAAGCTTTAACCACCAAAACAGAAGGTTTCACCAAAAAGGTATTGCAAGAACAGCTCGAGGAGCTCAAAAACAAGTTTTTCTTGGAAAAAAAATGTTTAGTTTGTGAGACTTGCAAAGGGTTTTGTTTGGAAGCTTGAATGGTGGCTCTAGGCAAAGGCGGTGAAGAGTAAAGCGAAGCATAGCTACTTGGAGCTAAAGACATGGCTGATGGTTACAGGAACTGCTTCTTTAGCTTCTTGAGTTTGAATTTTGAGCTCAGAGATGAAGTGTGGCAGGCATTTGAGAAGACTTTAGAGTTGGATTTTGGGAGGGAGAGACAAGGAAGAGGTTTAGATTACAGGTACTTCACTAGTGGCTCTGAATCATTGTTTTGTTTGTCTTTGATTCTACGATTTGGTGCCACGTGGCTGTCTGTGAGTGGTTGTAAAAGTAGTTACAAATTTAGTGAGAGTGAATACATAATTGGGATTTCCTTGTACAAATTTTAATTACTGTAAGCATGTTTAATAGTTTCTATCTTAAAACTTTATTATATATAGTGACATTGTTGTTTTTTTTTTTTTTTTTTACTTAAAATATTAATTAGATAACATTATCATATTAAAACTGGATTATTTTTGTTGGTTAGGTGGATCATTATTCTGTCATTACAAAGGTCAGAGAGTTGAATAATTTTGAATCATAAGTGTTTCAAAGTGTGGTTGTAAGGATGAAGTTATAATACTTGGTTGGTGTTAAGTGTCTGATCCTAATAATTTACTTAATTGTCGTCTATCTTAATTTAAGAACTTGATGAATTAAACAACGATTTTGTGAGAAAATCGTATACCAAATGGGTCATCTCACTTTTTTTCTTTCTTTTGAAAAGTAAAATAGATTTTTTTTTTGACATATAAGCATATTCTTTAGTCACCAAAATATTCTATGCAAAATACCCAAGACTTGAAAAAAAAGTGGACAAGTTATGGAGAGAATTGGTGAGGTTGAAGAAGCATTGGAAAGCATAGGGTCATGTCCAAACTTGTCATCAGGAATCAATATATCCCATTTAAACCTTCTGATATACTATGCAAGAAAACAAGTATTTGAAGCCTTGCAAACTAATGCCCTGGACACATTCTTGGCCTCCTCCAAATGGAACATGTGAATACGGAGTTTGTCCTTCTCCTTAGAACCTCATTGCATCTAGCTTTTTTTGGATTTGAGAAGAGCCTCTGTAACAAAAATTCAGCCTCAAGCCAATTCTTCTCACCAGCAAATGAATATTTCGGATGGTGTTGTGACAAGACCCAACCGCAATTTGAGGATGCTAGCTCGCTTGCTGGATTAAAGGGAAGATTGAAGACTAATTAATTCCCCATGTTATTACCATAAAGGGAGTGCTTGATTTAATTCCTAAAGTAAGAAGGATTGCTTATGGATGAGACTCTATTTATAAGGGATGACATTTTTAATTTGGCAAGGAATAATAATCCTCTGCTTCCTTCTTAATACTTCTCTTCTTCCTAAACTCAAAATTCTTTCTACTTCTGCAATTCTCTCATTTCTCTATTACTGCCTCTCATTTTTGTGCGTCGACCCTGTACTCCAGTATAACTACGAGAACCCGTACTCCAGTATAACTACAAGAAGTTGAAGCAAATAGTAAACAGTCAGGCGAACATTTAGCACCCAAAACAAACAATCACGCAAAAGTCTATCGCCCGATACGTTTTTGAAGTAATATAAAACTATTAAAAATTGGAGGAGTAGAAAATAAAATAAAGAAAAACACAATATACGAAGAATATCAACCGTACAGAGACACAATATTTTACGTGGTTAGACATAACTTGCTTATGTTTACGGATGAGAGAGATCCACTATACTTATAAGAACATAATACATGAGTGCATCATACCATCAATCTAATACTTATGTGGGAATTCTAGCATATGGTGTTTTATCAGTATAACACCATCAACCTAATACTTAGACGGACATCTTGTTCTTATGATGTTTAATACCTTTAGTATTTACTCGATACCTAGAGCCCTCTACCCTATAGTACCCTTACATCGAAACCCTTGTGTCCTCGCATGCTCTATTTCTCTTATTCTCTCTCTTATAACCTTGAATTGGTTCTAATCCCTCTATTTATAGGTTAAATAGGACATTGTTTTTCTACGAGGATTCATATTTTAAATCCTAATATGACTCCTCCAACTTAATTCATTCTCCTATTTTAACTCTAAATAAAATCCTAAACCAATTCTTCTTTCCTAATACAACTCAAAGTAAAGGAAAACAAATATTCTCAATTTCAAATTCCTTAAATAGAAATTTGCCTAAAACTTAAATTCCTTTTTCTTCTTGCTTGCATTTTCTTCTTTAGCAACATCTTCAGCAATTACCAAAAAGTATTCACATTCCAACACTCCTCCTTGAACCTTTTTGGTATTGAACTTCAAAGCTTGTTCTTCATTCTCTTACTCCTCCTTACTTCTTGGATGTATCTCTCACAACTTATAGTTGTTCAAAGCATCTTCTTCGGTGTGCTTTCTTCTGGACTTCTTCGGAGTCCCATCGGACTATAGGCTTCTATATCCGACCAAAGATGACTTTTCAATCCTCTCCCTCAAGCTTACTACCCCTTTTCTTCAAGTGTATAAGCTTCACACAACCAAGCACATTACATGCTTAGTTGTTCTTTCGGCCTCCAATCTTTTGTTGGAGTGGCACGATGGCTTTAGCATCCTCTTGTTGATCCTATCATTGACATTCTTGCAAACCATCACCCTTCAATTTCCGCTTCATCTTTCATAGGCCTCTTCTCCTATAGGTCTCTTAAGAATATAAGATACGATACTATGTTAAAAATCAGAATTTGCTTTGATACCATGTTAAAAATTGGAGTAAAAAATAAAATAAAGAACAACACAATATGTGAAGAATATCAACCACACGGAGACACTATATTTTACGTGGTTCGATATAACTTGCCTATGTCCATGAATGAGAGAGATCCACTATACTTTTAAGAACACAATACATGAGTGCATCACATCGTCAACCTAATACTTAGGCGGGAATTCCACCCAATGTTGTTTTATCAGTACAACACCATCAACCTAATACTTAGGTGGACATCCTATTCCTATAGTGTTTAACACTCTTAGGGTGTGTTTGGTTCAAATAATATTGTATTATTGGGATGTTATATTAGGGGGCTTTTGGATCATATATTGTTTTGTTATAGGAGGATGCTATATTAATGGAAAGATAGATCACCGTGAAGATTACTGGGAATGTTTAGAAAATGCGTTTGGTTGGTTCGAATAAAATGGTGAATTATATGTTTGGTTGGAAGGATAAATGGGTGGGTATGTTATATAGATTACTAAATTTCTCTCCTTTTTAAATATTAATATAATATTATTTTTTGAATTATTTTTTGAATCATTTCTTTTAACTCCCTACATTTGAAATTTTGCTAAAACAACCATATAAAATTTTAATTTATAGCAAAATCACCCTTATCCACCCCAAGCCACTATTGGCAGCCAACCCCATCGTCGACTCGATAAAATGGTGCATGACTGGCCGTATATGGCTAGCTGTGCACCTGCAAAGCCATTTTTGGCCATGGATCATAAATCCATGGCCATTTCAAGGCCAGATCTATGGCCATTTCATGACCAAAGACGTGGCCGTGAAATGGCGGCTGTGAAATGGCCATAGAAATGGCTAGATCTGGCCATTTCCGATCATGGATCACAGATCCATGGTGAGTAACGACTGACGGTGGTCTTGGGTGATTGGGGGTATTTTGTTAACTTTTAAACATTTTTGTGGCTGGGGTGTTTTAGCTAATTTTCAAATGTTGGGGGGCTGGGTAATTGTAATTTAGAAGACATTTGAGGGCAATTTTGTCCGAAAAGGTATTTAATTAAGGGCAAAATAGGCATAAAAATTAGATTACCCGGTAATGTTTTAATCCTAGGGGTGGGGGAAGGTATCAGATTACACCCCACATTACCAATAGTAAATATTATTTGCAATAAAAGATTCCCTAATATTTTATTACTTGAAAACCAAACGTTGAAATCTTGCAAAATATGCCCCCAATCCAAACGCACCCTTACTGGAAAGATAGATTACCTTGAAGATTACTGAGAGTTTTTAGGGAAATATGTTTGGTTGGTTGGAATAAAATGGTGGGTATATTACTTTAATATGTTTGGTTAGAAGGAATAAATTGGTAAGTATATTATATAAATTACTAAAGTGCCCTCCATTTTAAATATTAATATAATATTATTTTTATTATTATTTTTTGAATAATTTCTTTTAACCCTCTACATTTCAGATTTAGCTAAAACACCCAAACAACAAAAAAGTTTAAAACTTAACAAAAAGACCCCCACCCACCCCAAGCCACTGTCGACCATTTGCCACCACCGTCGAGGGTGGCCTCAGTGGTCCTAATAGTGCATGATCGGTCGGATCTTGTCGGCCGTTCACAAATCTAGCTGTTTTCGGCTAGATCCATGATGGATTTGACCGAAAATGACCAGATCTTTGGCCTAATTTTGGCTATCGTTAACGGCCAGAGTTTTGGTTGTTGACGACCAGATATATTTGGCCGTTGTTCGTTGATGACGGTCAGAGATCTAGTCGTCGTTAGTGGCCAAAAGCCAAAGATCTGGCTATTCTGGCCAGATCAGATTGACTCACAATCGATCAGATTCGGCTGGTTGTGGGCCATTTTGGCACCGGCAGACGGTGGTGGCTAGATTTGGCCACCACCATTGGATAAATTTTTTAAAGTCCACGGGTATTTATGTCCTAAACATTTTGTATATAAGGGTAAAATAGTTCATGAAAATATTTGTAAATTGTTTTCAAAATAAGGGCGTTATTGTCCAAAAATTTTAATAGTTAAGGGTAAAATTATAACAAAAATGAAAATGGAGGTAATTAGATTACCTCCTATAACCAACAATAATTATTATTGGTTTTAGAAGATTACCGAGATCTTATATTACTTGACAACCAAACGTGGTAATAAAGTAATATAAAATGACATTACCTCAGTAATGGAGGATTACCTCCAACCAAACGCACCCTTAGTATTTACCCGATACCTAGAACCCTCTACCCTATGGTACCCTTACATCAAAATCCTTGTGTCCTCACATTTTTTCTTTCTCTTATTCCTTCTCTCATAACCTTGAATTTGTTCTAACCCTTCTGTTTATAGGTAGAATATGATATTCTTTTTCTATTATGATTCATATTTTAAATCCAACTTAGATCATTATCCTATTTTAACTCTAAATAAAAATTTAAACC